CATATCAAAAAGTCCAAACATCTTTCTAGATATTGACAAATTATTAGTTGGTTTTGTATTTTTTGTGAGCATTTAAAGGGTGTATAAATCTAAAGAAAATAAAATGAAAGAAAAAAAAAGATTTTATTAACCTTTGTGCACTGTTTAAATTTATTACCCTATAGTTATGCTGGGGATGAAAACATCACTGAATTAAACTGCTGTAAAAATGCAGCATATATATTTATTAAAATACATTTATTTGATTTATTTATTATTATTTATTTAATTACTTTATTTTATTTATTTATTTTTATCTCCCAACTACTAAATGTTTTTTCTTTAAATGACCGTATTTTTACTTTTTTAATTGCCAAGTCCACAAATTATGTCACTGATTTGGTAAAAAAAAAAATAATAATTAAATATAAAAAGTATTTGTGGCCTAATTTTTTTTTTACCTTTTACCACAGTGTAGTACCAACATTGGCTTTGATGCATTGTTAGATTTTAATTTTTTCTCCCTAATTTACTGTTGGTGGCTGTTTTCGCCCCATTGACTTATATTATAACCACATATGATGGTGCATAAAGACACAGTCTTTTTAAATTTACTCTATATAGTTCTGAGAGCTCGGGCGAAGCAGTGGCACAGTAGGTAGTGCTGTCGCCTCACAGCAAGAAGGCTGCTGGGTCGCTGGTTCAAGCCTCGGCTCAGTTGGCGTTTCTGTGTGGAGTTCGCAGTGCAGTGACACCAGCCTTCCAGGACCGAGATCGGTGATCCTTGCTCTATATAAAATCCAGAAACTAAACACAATCCTATCTAAAGTGTATATAGTAAAATACCTCCTCCCAACAGGGAAACCCACCAACATTTAAAAATGCATGATTATATGGTGTCACTGTTTAGCAATCAAAAAAAGTGGATATAATGGAAGCCAATGTGGTAAAAACAGTAAATTAGGAAGAAAAAAAAGAAAAATAATCAAAAACTATGCATCAAAGGAAATGTTATTTCACACGTCCAAGACTTTGATAAAAGTTTTTTTTTTAAAAAGTCGAAAATTACTTTTTATGTTTAAAAAAAGTGTCATTTTGTGTGTTTTTAGGCAAATAAAGTGACATAGTTTATGATTTTGGCAAATAAAAAGTTTAATTCATGTCATTTTGTGAGCAGTTTAGTAGTTTTGATCAGAACTGAGGTTGATTAACAGATTTATGCAAAGAAATTTGAAAGAAATATTAATCTAATGCATTTTTAACAGCAGTTTGATTGGATATTTTAATCCCTAACATAACAAAAGGGTAGTGAATTTGCCCAGAGTGTACCGTTGGATTTTTTTTTACAAAGAAAATTCTCAAAACATGTTTCAAAATAAGATTTGCCAACTCAATCTCACAGCAATTTGTAACTTTTTCATTTAGTGGCTAATTCGTACATTTTAGTACGATTTGCTCATACCCCAATGACGGTTGGGTTTAGGGGTAGGGGTAGGTGCCACGTCCCCTTTTTAAAATCGTACAATTTTGTACAACTGAACTCCTAAGAATTTGTACGAATTATCCACTAAACTGGCAATACGTAAAATACTTACATTTTCTCATGATATCAGGCTGGATTTGCCACCAAAAATAATTTGTCTAGCTGAAACAGAAAAAAAGTTATAGCCAATTTAAGACTCAAAATCACCCCAGAGCGGATGAAAACATGAATGGACTAAGCGACATAAATAAATGTGTCATGATTCTCTTGCCTATGCGCATTGGAAAAAAAACAACTTTTATATTGCCATTATGAACATTTGAAAACTCATTGTGTGAATTGAGTTGAAATATCTCATTCAAACATGTTTATTCATGTTGTGAGGATAAGCAAAATAGAACTGAAACGAGTTGATAAATAAACAGTGACAGACATTTAATTGGGGGTAACAGCCCCTTTTCAGTGCACAATGGACTTGTTCACACATCACACATTGAATGCCAAACTTTTCAAACACGTGTGCTTGCAGAGATGGCCACAATAGGATTAATTGATGACCGTGTTAATGGGCCCATTAAACTAATGATCATATCAACCAGTGGCGCTGCTTTCTTGTAAACACATATACATTATAATTGAACTGGAATGGCTTGTATTTAGAGCTGGGATGTTTAAAATGCATGAAGCTCGGATCAAGATTGCAATTAATTTTGACATTATTATTAGTCTGTTAAATGTAAAACACGCAGGTTCTCTTTTCAAGTTTATTTTCAAAAACATTATTTAACTTTTATCTATTAGAACAGCATTTTATTTATTACAACCTAAAATTAGATAATTCTTGTGTTTTTCAAATAACAATGTGATGAGACAAGATATCCATCTAACATACAGTACATACCATGAAATGTCATTTCTTCTTCAGTGAAAGGTTTTCAGAGCACTACATTCTGTGATGGATGATTATACACATCCTAACATTTTAGATATCTCCGAGTTCTGGTTTGTTTACATGATTTTTTGAGATCAAACTCGCTGTCAACTGTCTCTCAGCAGGCGTATTGGTTTGGACGTGCAGAACGTGAAGATTTAGTTGGCAGCAGTGCAGACAGACACGTCTTATCAGCACTCCTGGGATTTAATTGCTGCTCATTTTTCCGTGCTGTTTTATGCGCTTAAGTTTGACTGTGGACAAAACTGACACTTCACATTTGTGTTCAGGTTACAGCGTGAACACACAAATAATTTAGTAAATGTCTGCAAAGCGCATAGACCCTACTTTTTAAAGATGACTTTAATCAATAACTTTCACTGTTTAAATTTGCAACTCAGCACAACTGCTAAGTGTTGGTATAAATTACACGTGCATGAAAAAAACTAATGTGTGACACTGTCACTGGTCATGTTTATCTCAATCAGTGTATGGCGTTAATAGAGGTTTGAGCACGCACACTGCCTTTAAAAACCTGTGAAATGTGATTCCATGTTTTGCTCACTCTTGCCGTGAACAGAAATAGCCGCAATGAGGTAATGTGTGCAGCGGTGTTGCTCCATGCGCGCGGAAGGCGATTGGTCGCGCGCTTCAGCTCCACGTTTTGCACGAGCCCAGATCCAGACTTTTGCGGCAAGCTGCCTTAACATTCATCCTATTGAACAAACACTTCAAAACAATTACTCTTGAAACAATTTCACTCAGAAAGTTCTTGAAAAAAATGGAAGCAATTTAGTAAATTAAACCTGCCATTTATATGAAAACTAAACTTCTCTCTTGTCAAACATATTGCAATAATCTTTAATTTAAAACACAAAAAAGGTGTCAAAAAGTGAATGTACTTTTTATTATATTGTAAATGACAACTGGAGGGTTTGTCTAGCCTCTCATGTGGTTTTCGCAAAGCGCCAGGGATTTTATAATGGCCGAGAGATCTTAATGTGCGGCAATTTAAGAAAACACATGCAATTACAAAAAACGGTAGCAAATTAAAAAAAGATCTTCATCAGTTTGACAGCACAAGTGCTGCAAATCCTCACAACACAAACACATTTAAAATATGCACTGCATTTTCACACAATGCAAACAATTTATAAAATGAGCTGCATTTTCTCACAACAAAAACGTTTTACAAAAACGCGCTGCATTTTCTCATAACACAACAATTTACTAAACGCGCTGCATTTTCTCATAACACAATGGAATTGTTACAATTAGACCCTAAAACATGATGGACCCGGCTACTTCTAGCAACAACCACGCAGCGCCACACATTTAAGAATTCTAAACATGGATTTCTATAACAGTACACACACTAGCTCAGGACACTTCATCTTTCCCCATCCACACTGAGATGGAGCAGCAGCGTTTCAGAATGAAAACGGCCTCTCCAGCGTTTTCGAAACGCTCCGTTTTCGGCGCTCGAGAACTCCGGCGTAGTGTTGACGGATGGCGTAACCGTAGCAAAACTTATGCGTTTTCAAACTAAAACGCATTAGTGTAAACGGGGCCTTATATCATGCCACAGAGCGCCATTTGAATAGTTTCATTTTAAATAACATGCGAATGTGCCTGCCTGATCTCACGAGGAGACGTAAGTATTTTACATTTCGTCAGTTTAGTGGCTAATTCGTACAAGTTTAGTCGTACGAAAATGTACAATTTTAAAAAGGAGGTGTGGCACCCAACCCCACCCCTAACCGTCATTGGGTGATGAGCAAATCGTACTAAATTGTACGAATCAGATCATAAGAATTCATAAGAATTAGCCACAAAATCAAAAAGTTATAAACTGTCATAAGATTGCGTTGAATGTTCGCATCTGGTGTGTGATCCTTTTAACTTTCCATTCACAGGTAGGGCACAAAAGGGTTTCTTTTGAATAAAAAGTGCCCCCCACTCAGGGGTGTAGCAACCAGGGGGACGAGGGGGATACGTCCCCCGCACTTTTAGAGACAAACCATTTAGAAACAGGTGATTAGGTATGTAAACCTTTGAATTTTATACAGCTGTCCCCCCACTTTTATAAATGGCCACTACACCCCTGCCCCTACTCTTCAGTTCGCGATCGTCTTTCAACCTCCCCTTCAGCTCTTCAGTTCATGATCAATTATCTGGTGTGCGTCCAACTTTAGACATGATGTAGGCTACATATTTATTAGATATTAGGCTACTCATTAAATTTCCGTTTAGTTAATTCCAACTCTACCTATTTTTATTTAGGCTACTTCATTTTTTTCACGTCCAGATATAAAGTTTTACACAGCTGAAAATATTCACTAAAATGTCTAAATGGCCCCTAATAAAATTACTTTAAGGTCAATTCAGCCTATAAATAGCCTATTAGCAATGAGCATTACTAACCGCTAGATCATCAGAGGGTACTGTAGCTCTCGATACTACCCACTGTGAACGATTACCTAGTGAAACTGGTATGCCTACGTGACAAAGCGGCTTGCCACAGGCTTGAGTGTAGTCAGATTGAAGGTTGGCTTTGCTCCGCCCCTGGCTTGATTGTATATGAGTGCTGACCGAGAAGCATGCAGCAGTTTTTTTCGTAATGTTTTTGATGCGGAGGCTGGCGCTGAATGCGGTCTGCGTTTGGAGAGCATACGCTTCTTGTTGACTTGGATTAGGAGGGATTGTAAACTCTTTCATCTCTGGGATTGTCAGTTACTTTTTCCTTTTGCCGACTGCGGTGCAACGCACTCAGCAGATTTTAGCGGAGAGGTAAAGGTTACAAAGTTTAGCCTGCTTATGAATGTTCATGCCACAGTCAGATACGTGTGTTTAATTGTGCACACTGCAAAAAAGGCTTTTGTTCATTGTTGAACTATTTCGAAAGCAAATCCTTCGGGAACATATCTGCACGTCGTGTTTTGCACGTATTAACTTTTGCAAACTGTTTTCCAGGGGAATGGTAGACCGCATGATGGCAATGAACCATGGTCGTTTCCCAGATGCTGTGAACGGACATCAGCACTCCGCGCGCAGGATGGGAATGGGACAGTTCTCCAACGCGCTTCCGCAGCAGCATTATAACGTTATCATGGGAGATCACATGCATTACGCGGGAGGGAATATAAACGCAAATAACGGGATCCGGCATTCCATGGCCACTGGGAATAATATAAACGGAGGAATCCCCAATGGAAACTTGCCTGCCCGCTTTAACTCACAGTTTGTCGGACAAGGGCAGCAGCTCGCTGCAAGCATGCAGTTGCAGAAGCTCAACACGCCTTACTACGGTCACCACACTCATCCTTCCCATCATCACCATTACATGCACGAACTACACCCCGCCAGTCACCAGTTAAACGGGACAGGACAGCAGTTCCGAGACAGTATCGCTAAGCAGAACACGTCTGGGGTTCCTTTGCCTGGCCACCACATGCCTGCAGCAATGCTGCCCCCCAACGTTATCGACACAGATTTTATTGACGAGGAGGTCTTGATGTCACTGGTGATAGAAATGGGCTTGGACCGAATAAAGGAGCTGCCAGAGCTCTGGCTTGGACAGAACGAGTTCGATTTCATGACGGACTTTGTTTGTAAGCAACAACCCAGCCGAGTGAGCTGTTAATCACAACGCTTTTCCCGTTCTTTTGACTTTCGTTGTCTTTTTTTAAAGACTGATATTACTGGTGTGTTTTCCGAGATCCACAAATCACAGGGTTCCCACGGTCCTGGAAACATCGGGGAATTTCAAAAGTATGATTTCCAGACATGAATCAGGCATAATAGTGGAAATATTGTTTTTATTTGCCCAAATATTACTATAAAATCATTTAAAAAATGACTAGTCTCTATAAAAACTCACAAATGACTGGAGAAGTAGTCTAATTGTCATACTAGGAAGTCCTACACGTGATATTCTGGGGAATAATAATAATAATTTGTTTTCATGTTGTAAATCATAGCAATGACAATTTAGTTTTAATAAATTGTCACATTCTACTAATTTGATCCCATATTATGATGTAATTTAAGCAGCCTACAGCAAAGCAATTAATGGTTACAATGTGGCCACATTTTGGTAATATTAAGGAACAAATTGATATATCATGCACCCAATTTACTTAAAATGAGGTGACATGTTAGTAAACATGCTGCTGTCCTAGTAAGTTGAGGGAACAAATTTGTATTTTTAAGGTTTTCTGCCTGTCATGTGTGACACTCCATAAATAACCATGTAAATTCATTGGTCAGAAAGCGTGGGAACCCTGAAATCCAAACAGCCATGGCAGTAAATGGTTCAAAAGTAGACTTTTATCAGCTGATTCACACCATTATGTAACAAAATTGGATTTGTTTTGCATGAGGATGGTTAAGACATCCACGAGTCATGCTATGCATTCCATATGCAGGGGCTGGAGAGTGAGAAAGGCAAAGAAAGTCCTCTGAAATATCTGTTCAGTGTTGATGTAGCAGACAAGAATACACCATCAGACACTTTTAACCCAAGACCTCCAGTGATATCAGATGTCAGTGAATGCATATTCTAAATAATGTTGGTGGTTCTGTGACATGATTGTAGATAATAGTGTGTAATTGTCTCAATCAGCAATGTACTATAAACTTTAAGTGGCCATATTTACCAGATTCCTGTGCTGCTCAGAGGATCACTGAACTGTGAGCAGATGCTTCAAGTTGTTCTTCTCTCCACCCTTTCAACATCTTCACAGGCCCATGTTGCCTCCATGATGCTTGTGTGTATGTGTGTGTATATCAGAGCCCAAATCATCTATAAAAGTGACATGAATGTGAGCGAGAGTGTGCATTTGCTGGCTACTCTATATGCTTAATTGAGTACAGTGTATTGTTCAGAAATCCAGGAAAAGACTGAATGTCATTGTCTGGAATGTGGAAATATCCCAACACAGAAGAGTTTCATCTTCATTGGTTCTCAATTATAGATAGACCACTGTGCTTATTATAGTATGCGGTACATGGCAATACTACTGTGTTGAGGCTTTCTAGGAAAGTTTTACAGTATTTTTGTATATTTTTAGAAAAAAAAAGTGTTAATTTATTCTATTTTAATTTGCAAACATGAATAAAACAGCAAATGCTCATTGTTAAAGTCAATGCCCTGTTCTTTTGGGTGTCAGCTTTGTTTTTTATTGACATTTTTGGGTTTTTCTGCAATGTTTCGTGTCAGTTTTACATTTAAAGATACTGTACATGATGAAATATAGTTATTGTACCATCATATGTAACCTGGTAATGATGTACATCTAGGCTAGTATGGGACATATGTACACAGATGTTTAATTTCAGTCGTCCAGTCCTGGGGCTTCCGGTGAATTGTCATCCCATACAAAAATAGCAGCATTTAAAGCTAATTTCTTTAAAAAAAAACAGTGATCATCACAGCCTGGCTGAGATACAATATAAAGTGGGTATCAGACCAAACAAAATGCACTGCATTAAATTATATTTTTCTGTGCCAAGTCTTTAAAATATGGAAATTAATTTACCAAAGTATTTTCAATGGAGTTTTTCCACTAGCCTCCTGCTGCTTCAGGCACCTGCCTGAAAGTTTCTACCTAGAAAGAGCTTGATTAGCTGGTTCAGGTGTGTTTAATTGGGGTTGGAACTAAAATATGCAGGACAGTGGCCTCCAAAGTTTGGACACCCCGCTGGAACCATATGAAATTGAAAATAGTCACATAAGCCTTTCACTGGAAGTTCATCAAGCTAGCTGTGCATATAGCATTGTTCTCTCAGGATAAACATCAACAGGCTTAGCAGCAGCAGCCTGAAATGAAGATTGAAGGGCTTTTTTTTATGAAAACAAGCAGCTGGATGTACATTATCCTGCTCATTACACGTCTACTTGCAAAAAAAACTTAGCTATACACAAAACATAGAGCCGTATTTACAATTTACCAGCTATTTAATTGAATGTAATTTAAAATTAAACGTAAAACTGACAAACAAAAATGGTCGAATGCAACTTACACAAATGTATTCAGTCACAAGATGGCGCCAAATAGTCAAAAACACCGGCGTCATAGATAAGCATTGCCAACTATGGATGGATATGAATGTACTACCCAAGTCCAGATAATTCGCAGTACCCAGATGAGCCTGTATTCCCACGTGAAAAAAAATACAATAGTAATAAATAGTATATACTACAGTATTTTTGAATGGTATGGTAGTAAATTACATAAATTAATCTGCTGTTTGATTATATAGTTGCTATAACAAGTATAGTATATAAACAGATGACCCACAAACTAGTTTTCCACAACTATGTAAATTAAGCTAAAGTACAATATTTATAACAGTTTATCAGCTCACTATTGCAATGCTACAGTTTAGCATCAATTAACAAAACAGTTGTAAAGAAAGTGCTTTACTAGTGCGGTGCAAAAACACTCTATTATTTACTAATAATTTGTATCCCTGCTGAAAAAAATAGCATATGCTGTAAGGTATGTTTTGATGCTGGCCTTGCTGATTTCAATGCTGGTATTGCTGGTTTCAATGCGGGTCTCCATTGAGCTTGAGACCAGCAAAACCAGCATTGAAATCAGCAAGACCAGCATTAAAACATACCTTAACTTGCTGTTTTTTTTTTCAGCAATTTGTAATAGTAATTTTTCATGTGGGCTATTAGTTTCAGCAGTTATAATCTGGGAATAACATACTTAAATGTTCTTACTGACTAATCAGAAGTAAGCATTCCACAGAGCTGCATAATAAATCTGTATATAACATGCAAGTAGTTGGAGTTTGACAGGCTAATTGGTTTAAACTTTTATTGAAGTCAAACATATCCCTCAGAATATTTTATTTGTCTAATTAAGCCATCTGAATCATAACGAGACTAAATATATACTTGGAAAGCTTACTGTAGATGTGCATTTAAATGCAAGACCAAGTGCTGGGTAAAGTGTCCAGTTTCACTGCATGAATAATTCTCATGCAAATAGGTAGCATTCAGTGGAGTTTGTCCTGCAGTGAAACTGAAGCTTCTCAGAGTTGTCAGCTTACTAGTGACAAGCATAGTCTAAAAACCATCACGGGCCCATAGACACTGATTCATGACTGAGAATTAACATAATTTAGAATTCAAGATATGCGGACGTGAGAAATATGAGCTCATCCTTATTCCTTCAGGAGAAGAAACGTGTTTAACAATGATATCAAATGTTCTTCTGGAGTTATGTGTAATGCAACTATAATAATGCAAATGATTTCACTGTGCATCAGTGATGATGTAAGTGTCTCAAGAAGTACTTTCATCAGGTCTAAAATGGTTTTGTATAGGGTCAGGTCACCAAAATCCATAAGATTTTAGTTGATGTTTGAAAAACTAAAATTAAGATATTGTGTTTCTTAAATGAGTAGAAGTGTCCATAAAGATCCAAAACGTCCATAAAGGTTAAAATTAAATGAATCCATACAAATCAAACAGATTACTTCAAACCCTTTGAACAGATATGATCACTTTAGATGAGTAACTTATTTAATTTAGTCTTTTAATTACTGATTAATTATTTATGCTTGATTTTTATTTAACTGAATCTTTTAAGATAAATATTAAGATTTTCAAGGGAGCATTATAAAAAAATGGGTTATTTAAAAAAACTAAATTATGGCTGTCAATTAATTTAAAAAAATCAAATTAACAACACAATGTAATAATTAATTGATTAGTTAAGTACTGCACCTACAAAACTGTTACCAACATTCTTTAAATATTCTTATGTTCTTTAAAAAATGACAAAAAAATAGTAAATTCTGACAACTTTAAGGTAAACTATCCCTTTGCGTTTTAATTTTTTTTTATTTTTGGTTTCAAATGTTTATGATTTTCTTTTCCTGTTGAACACAAAAGATATTTTAAAGAACGCTGAAAACTGGTAGCCATTGACATACACACTTTATTAAGTACACCTTACTGGTACCCAGTTGGACCCCCTTTGGCCTTCAGAACTGCCTTAATCCTTTGTGGCATAGATTCAACAAGGTACTGGAAATATTACTCAGAGATTTTGGTCCATATTTACATGATATCATTATGTAGTTGCTGCAGATTTGTTGGCTGCACATCCATGAAGTGAATCTCCTGTTCCATATCTTTGGTGAGCCTGTGCAAATTTTAGCTTCAGTTTCGTGTTCTTAGCTGACAGGAGATATGCCTAGTGTGTAGGGATGTAACGGTATCAGAATTTCACGGTACGGTAATACCTTGGTATGAATGTCACGGTACGGTATTTATTGAATCATTTACAGGAAAAACAAAACTTATGAAAATACTCCAAAAAAGTGCCAAAAGTGTCAATGACATACAAATTAGCCATCTATCTGTAAGCTTTGAAACACTAACTTCAATTTTATTAACAAAAAATTATTAAACCATATAAAAAAATAAAGTTTCAATTTAGAATTGTTGAAAACTCATCACATTCAACATTTAATCACTCACTCACTTAGATAGAGATGGGTTTAAAGGAAAATTATCATATAAATATAATCTGGTAAAAGTTGGTATCTCTGGGTATTTACAATGTCCCCTGCAACAGAAAAAACCCCTCTCATTTGGGACTGAGGTTTCTGGGACAAGAGAGATATGACTTGGCCCATGTTGACAGCAGTGGATAACGTTGTGCATTGTCTTTCCCCTACTTGAGAGGACAAACCATGAGTGAGATAGAGATCTCTTTGCGGTACAATTCAATGTCTGCATCAATCTGAACAGTGTGCTGTGTTTCTGCAGTCCCCATGACTGTTATTAGTCGTATTCCCCAACTTGCAGGCACGTGCACACATAGGGCTCAACATGTGCAGTGCACACGCCCTTTTTAGTCTTGGATAGAAAATGCCCTTCTAAAACGATCAAAAGTGCCCCCGCTACGCGACACAACCTCCGTCCAGCCCTTCAGTAGGTGCACGACAACACCGCTCTTGAGTATGCGCGCTCAACCCCCCCTTGGCGCTTTACAATACGCGCGCGACAACACAGCTGATCAGAACGCGCGCGACAACACAGCTGATCAGAACGCGCGCGACAACACAGCTGGTCAGAACTCGTGCGACAACACCGCTATTCAGTACGCGCGTGGCGACAACACCCGCTCTAGCTTCATTCGCCTGAGCAAATTTTCTCAGAAGACCTATAGTTTTACCGAGTCATGCGACTTCGGTAATATCGAAAAAAAATAATATTGCGGTATGACGGTATTTACATTACCGTTACATCCCTACTAGTGTGGTATTCTGCTGCTGTAGCCCATCCGCCTCAAGGTTGGACATGTTGTGCATTTAGAGTTGCTCTTCTGCATACCTCTGTTGTAACAAGTGGTTATTTGAGTTAATGTTTCCTTTCTATCAGCTGGAACCAGTCTGGCCATTCTCCTCTAACATCTGTCATCAACAAGGTATTTGCGCGCACAGAACTTTATCTTTTTCGGACCATTCTCTGTAAACCCTATAGATAGTTGTGCGTAAAAAACCCAGTAGATCAGCAGTTTCTGAAATACTCAGACCAGCCCAATCACCTTTCTTTCCCATTCTGATGCTTAGTTTGAACTGCAGCAGATCATCTTGACCATATCTACATGCCTAAATGCATTGAGTTTCTGCCATGTAATTGGCTGAAATTTGCATTAACAAGCAGTTGGATACATGTACCTAATAAAGTGGCCAGTGAGTGTATATAGTACTGACATAATAAGGAAGTCATGACTATTGGTTCCCAACATTCTTTAAAATATCTTCATTGTGCTCAACAGAGAAAATAAACTCAAACAGTTTTGGAATGAGTGGAGGATGAGTAAATTATATCATTTTCATTTTTTGAAGCTATCACTTCATACACTTTTAGTTAAAGAAAATGTTTTTAAAATACAAAAAAAAAAGACAAACTTTAAAATAGTTTTGGATAAAATCAACCATCACTTGTTCCTTTTCAAATGACAGTTATTTTGATGCACATTGTCCTCAAATGATGCCACATTAATTGTAGTCTCATGGCCTCCTGTGGTGATATTGCCTTATAATGGATGTTCCGCTAATGCCATTTTTAATAGCAGAAACCAACAGGATGTCCCCAGCCTCC